TTGTAAAAGATAAATACATGTTTTACAAATACCCACTCTGGGCAGGTTTGAAACATATTTATAATCAGTTGGCTACTTGCTTGTTTTGAGAGCACCATCTAATTTTAGGTTTACCTGAGCTCTGGGATTTCTGGGTGCTGGTCGATTGAAAGCTTCAGAGTAAAGGGTCTGCTCTTTCATGAGGGAGCTGGACTTGAAGGTAAAACTACACTGTCAGCCCCCATTATGTAGGCAAGAGAGCAGTAGAGGACATAGCAATGCCGGGAGCGGTGAGGGGGGGTGCTGCCGCTTACCGTGTGTGCTGCCTGCCTGCCCTGACCCCAGTGCCATCCTGGCCTTTCCTAAGTGCCATAAGAGGAGTGGACAGACACAGACACTCATATGTGGAAGTCCAAGGCTGTCAGGAGGCGAATAAACAAGGAGCCCCAAATAAAGCCAGCGTGTGGGGACCTGATTAGGTAGAACCTATGAGACACTAACCTTGAGGCAACACTCAGTTTTCTGTTGCAGGAAATCTCCAGTAACCCTTAAAATCAGAATGTTGTTTAGTTCTAGAAAGAACACCTATGTGGCCCTGGTCACAGTACTTGGTATTTTGATACAGTTCTCATGTGTGGCTTTGTTCTGGATGGTTTCAGAGTGTGGAACATACTTGGTTCCAGCCCAGAGAAGCCTCTACCATTCCCAGGCACAGGGCTAGTTCCTATCTGTCAGGAAGTCATCGGGTAAGCTGTGTCAGCTCTGCAGTATGGTCAGCCTTGGGGAGGCTAATGGCACCACTTGCTCAAGGGGCTTAATGTTATGTGCTTTGCAGAGCTATTCCCCTTGGAGTCTGGATTAGGACTGCATTTAAAAGCTAGTTTGTTTTTCTTAAGAGATTTATACATTATTTCAAGAGCTGTGCTGGGGATGTATTAAATTAAGATAGAGAAGACCATGGGGGAAAAAGACCATGGAGTGATGAACAAAAGGAATTAGGTCAATTGCTGTGATCTGGATCTGGAATGTTCTTTCTAAGGTCCAAGTGTAATGGTTTGGTTATCAGCCTGTGGTACTTTTGGGACATGGTAGAACCCTAAGGAAATGGGTCTAGTGGAAGGAAGTCAGGTTATTGGGGGCACACCCTTGAAGGGGCTATCGGTCCCCCACTCCTTCCTTTCTCTTTGCTTCCTGGCCACTCTGAGGTGAGCAGCCTCCTCTATCATGAACTCCCCAATGTTGTACTGAACCACTCCTGGCCCAAAGCAACACCGGCAAGTGACTCTGAGCTCACACCTGTGGGAGTGTGAACCTAAACAAACCTGTTTCCCTTCGCTTCATCTTAGGCATATGTCGCAGCAGTGGAAAGCTGATTAATACACTAGGGCAGCTCAGTAAGAGCCCAGTAATGTTCTGCTGATAGCATTACCTAGTTTGAAAACCCAGACTGAGTGAAGGCCAAACTGCTACTTTGTTTTAATGGTGTCCTGATGGGAGTCAGGAGCAAGACGCATGTCTGTGAGTAGAAGGAGCTTCTCCCCCACCCCCTTGCTTTTTTCAGACAGTGTCTCTCTGTCAAACAGTCCTGGCTGTCCTGGAGCTTACTCTGTAGACAAGGCTGGCCTTGAACTCACAGAGATCTGCCTGTCTCTGCTTCCTGGGGGCTGGGATTAAAGGTGTGTGCCACCGCTGCCTGGCTAGAAGGAGAGTCTCTTAAAAGAACCAATCTTCCTATTTTCCATTATCTTGGGAGAGGCTCATTTTAAGATGAGACGTGCACATTATGTAAGGGCCATCAAGGCACAGGCGCAGTGTCTGTGTCCCAGATGAAGTGGCTGAATCAATCCCTGACATGTCGAATAACTGCTAAGCTAGGCTCAAGATGGCCATCAGTATTGTGACAGTACCCACTTTTGAGGCAGCTGAAAGTTATCCCGTGGGTCACACACCCCAATTCCTCACATATCCATGGGGACTTAAAAGCCACAGCTTACTACATGTACTGTGGGTAGTTAAGGGCGAGGCCAGCTCCAAGGTCAGGAGAGAGCTGTTGGCTTTATAAGTTGCCTTAGGAGGGAGTGACACACGGTAGGTCCAGCAGCAGGCACAATGGAGAGCTACTTAGTGATGAGGGAGGAGAGGACATCACAGTATCCTGGGGAAATAAATGCAGAGCGAGTGGGCAGCTGCTCTGATGCTTCATCTTACTTATCTAGACACAGGACTTGTGATGCAGCCCAGACTGGCCTCCATCTTCCCGTCTTAGGCTCCTGAGCATGGCTGTAAGGTCAGTCTTAATTCATGTGGGTAGAGGTTGGCAGATCTGAGTGTAGACAAGCAACTTTGCTCCTTTTCACCCTCTTGCCACGATGCGCTACTCTACCACAGCCCAGAAACAGCAGTTAGCTGATGGTGGGCTCTGCAGCTGGGACCCAAAACCAACCTTTCCTCTTAAGTCCTTGTCATGGCAACTTAAAAATGAACAGAAAATCGGTGCCAGGAGGGTGTTATTTTCAGGAATACCTGACTATATGGTCCAAAAGTCTTCACAAGCAGTTTGTGGGAAGAGAAGTTTGGAGTTCCCAGAATTCTCTTTCAAGGGCCTTAAGGGGTGTCTGTGATGAGAGCTCAAATCATGTATTGTAAATAGTAAGTACTGCTCATGGGGCTCCTAATGGAAATGAGGAATTTATCTGAAATTAGACCAGAGGCCATGTGTTATATTTTGACAAGTAATTTGTCTACATTTTGTCTATATCTGGAGACTTTGTGTGGGGTTCTATTTATATCTGGCAGAGGGAATTTTAAGACAGCTACCATTCAGGCTACTGCATGGACACTGTTTTGCTTTTGGTCACATTTACAGTTAGAATGGGGAACAAAAGCAGCATGGAAAGATGTGGAAACTTTGTAGTTTGGTCTAAAGTCCATGAATAGTTGAGGTTACAGGAGGTGTGGTTTCTAAAAAGTACCCTTCAAAAGGAGAGATGTACTTTGTTACATCTTGAAGGCACCTCAGAAATCAGCAAGATCTTACTCACTGCAGGTTTAGTGATATAAAAATGTAAATTGACTTGAAAGACTTTCCCTGGAAAGAGAAGACTGCTGGGGTGCCTGTGTGCATACAGATGCCTACATGTTATTGTCATAGAAGTCATTCTGCTGTGCTTAGTTGCCCAGACATTCAGGGGTTCCTGTAGCCATGATCCAAGGAGGTCCAGCTACTGCTCAAGCTGTGTTTTCCATGTGATGCTGGTTTGGGGGGAGCCCTCTAGATATTATGAAAGCATGAGTGTAAAGACAGAGATGAAATGGAGGTGTCAGTAAATCAGATGCAAGAACAGGAAGTACATACCACTAAAGCCATTGGAGACAAGTCCATGTGGGCTACAACTGGCAAGGCCCCCCTGGATCTTTGAGCTCACATTATGCCACTATATTCCTCAGATGCTACTCGATTCCGTTAGCACTAGGTTTGGGTCTAGCAGGTCAGTTCCTTGTTGTCCTTTTTTTAAAATTTTAATTTATGTTTTATTTTATTTTTTTAACTCTTCCCCTTTGGAATGAGGATGTTAGTCACTGGATGTTGGAAGTTTTAACTTGCTTTTCTCAGGAGCTCACAGTTGAGTTTGTATAGTGTACTGGGGGAGATTTGGAAAGGTATTAAGCACAGTTACATCTTCATTTGGAGATTAATTACAGAGAAGAGATGGATTTATGATGGTTACTCCTGTCGGCTTGATTCTCGGATGAACTGAGAGACACCAAGTAGTAAGTGTAGGTGTAGGTGTGGGTGCTGGTGAAGGTGTTTGAGAGAGGATGGGCATGCAGCTCTCTGTCTCCATGGGGTGAGCAGCACTGCTCCCCAAACTCTTTGGCCTCACTGCTTTGCTTAATTACAGCCCCAGAAACCAGACCCAACCACAGTTAGCCATGGACTAAGACCTCTGAAACCATAAGCCACAATAAAGCTCGCTTCCTTTTAAATTGTTTCAGGTCAGGCACCTCCCTCCCTTCTGCCTCTAGGATACTTCTGCGGTATTCCTCATCCCACATCCCCTCTTCCTGATATGCCTGGCACCTCTACTGGCTGGTTATTTTCCTCTGAGCTGTTGGGGGAACAGACTCACTTCAACTGTTACCCTCCCCCACAGACCTACATAAGGGAGTGCTCATGGACTCTCTTTTCTTTTATCAACTGCCTTCCCTTGTCCTTTTCTCAGTCAATATAACCACACCAGCACCAGGCTGTATGGTGCCAGAGAAGAGGGGCAGTTTTAAGCAGCATAAATTAGAAAGAATAAATTGGTGTATACTAACATTTCAGTTTTCTGGCTCTAGGTTTAAGCTGTGATGCTGGCTCTCTGAGTGTGTTTCATCTGACAGCATAACAGCATTTGGATAGCATGAATGCAGTGTCCCTGCTGCTCTGGTATTTCTATAATTCTAGGTGGTATTATGGTAGAGATTCCAGAATGCCACATTTACAGGCTGATTTTCGGTGGCTCAAACTACTTGTGAATTATTGAAACTAGATGAAATTGGTTCTTGATGTATCCAATTGGCTCGCTCATTTTAAGTCTTGAGAAAACGAATTTAAATAGCTATGACTGTGATAAAATTAATTTAAATAGGTTATGACTGTATTCAAAACTAGTTTAAGCTGGGATTTGCTTGGCTTCTTCAGACTACTCAAGTAAGATTTGGTTGTTAATTTTACTGGAAGCAAGACAGTTTGAATAGAGCCTAACAAAGGACTGCTCTGACCAGTGGCCTCTAGCCGTCAGTAGAAAGCCCGTGCTGGAATCTTGTCTTAGAGGCCTAAAGAGCAAAGTCCACAGCCATATGTATTTATTCTCAAGATCAACCTCAATAGTGTTTCTATGTAAGACTCAAGCTTTTAGCTAGGCAGGAATAAACACTGCTTGTATCATCTTAGTCCACTCTCTAAGAGCTATCTATGGGCTGATGTTGGTGCCTGCAGCCACACACCACCCCTCAGAACACGCAGAACTCCTCACCTTGATCCGGCTTACTGCTTCCTGGGCCTGCATCATGCGTACATTCTTGGAGGGAGTTTTGTCTGAGAGCAGCTGAGTGGAGCCAAGGTAATTGGCAGCAAAAATAATTCCATCGATCAAGTCTTCAGGATCACAAGGTCCAGGAACTGTAACACATAGAGTGAATGATGTCATGGGAGGATACCACAACCTGGATGTTGCATGCCAACCCCCAAGCTCACTGTTTACATATGTGGTTGACTTGCTAGTCTAAGGTATCTTGGAGTCATTTACTAAGAGAAATAATGTATTTACTTGGATATGAATCAAAGTCCAACAGTAAAAAAAATTATGTCTCTTAGCCAGGCCTGGAATCCTAGTTGCTTGAGAGGCTGAGACAAGGAAGACTGTTCAAAGTTTGCCTACAGATACTTGCCTGATGGGTGTAGTAATTCCCCACTCCCCCAACATAGTACTGGAGATTGGAACATGAGCTCTTTGGCAACAAGGGGTTATGCCATACTCATCTTTGGCTTTCATGCCTCTCATGTGTTTCTATAAACTGTATGTCTGCTTGGGTAAATGGTTAGATAAACAGAAAGCTGTAATAATAGAAAACAACATTTCCTGACACTTCCTATTTTCTTTCTACCTACTCACAATTTCCTCCCCTGTTTGGTCTGAATGAATCACACTTCATACATGAGGACAAAATGGGATATTTCTTTCCTATAATGGCATCAGACTCCAACTCTGAAAGTTGATAGCATCACCGTAAAACCTTGGTACCATGCTGCCAGTCTTGTCAACTGACAGACCATGAGGCTCCTGGCTTCACATTGAGATCAATCTCAAGGAAAATCAAATTGTTCTCTTCTCACTCACCAGTCCACTAAGTTAAATCTGTATTTTAAATAGAGAGACATCTGATTTTAATCACAAACACCTAAAATCCACACCCCAAGTTAAAGCGTGTCGGCAACTGTTACATATAACAGATTCACTAAAGACAGACATTTAAATTGCAAGTAAAATATGTCTTTTCTTTGACTTGAATGACAATTCTGAGAGACTAAAATATAACCCACTGTGAAACCTCAGGTTCTAGAAATGAAATAACTCGACATGGAAACAATTTGCTTTCCCTCTTGTAGGGCTAATCTGAAGTGGTGTTTATTTTCATTTTAATGGTCTAGCTTGCCTTGAGTCTCTCCCCCAGAGAAGCTGCTGGCCAAGGTACAAACTTAATTTATGGACTTTTCAACAACTAAGGTTGTAGTCAAAACACAGAAATGGGCAGTTAGTCAGGACCTTCACGATACACCTGGGGCATAGCTTTATTGCTTGGCTCTCCCCAGCTTCTGTCCTTGGTTTGTGACAAGAACAGAGGATTCACAGTTAGAATACTGTCAGTCTAAGATCCTCAGTGTTATCAAGTCTGTGGTCTTTCCCCCTATTCTCTTTTACATCCAGTGCCCCCAATGCTAAAAGAGTTATGAGTGACCCAAGTGCTCAGTATTCTCTTCAGCTCTTACCTTCAACGTAGGTTGGGAATGAAGCCAAGCTTTTTCTTGACTGTAATTAAGACAAAGAGGTTTCAAAAAGGGCAGAGCATGATGAAATATGCATTAGCACAAGCGTCCATGCAACATAAAAAAGAAATACATCACCAGTGGCATTTGTTAACCAGTTATCGACCAGTCTTCACTAGAATGAATGAAGTATGGATAAAATATGCATTTACTATTAAGGTTACCTAAAACTCAGAATTACCCACTGAAGTTTGAAGTGACCAAAATCCCTGAACATTTCAGAGATGTGTTTGTCAGCTTTAAAAAAAGTATAATCAGCAATAAAGACTATGCTGTACATTTTAAGAAAGTATTCAGTGTGAAAAATTATTGATTACTAAATGCACTAACAGCATGACTGTGTACTCTTGAGAGTAAGGATTCCCTGGAGAGTTTCCTCTAGGTCTTTGACACAAGGTATCTGTTAAAGGAAAATAAACTCTTGCACCTTTTAATCTCTCACTGATTCATTTATGTTGAAAAGTTCCATATTCTGTAAATCACGAATTTGTACTTCTTTAAAGTAAGAATAAAAGAGTAAGTTTAAAACACTGGATTTTTTTTATGCGTTAGCTCACAGCAGAGGTCAGCCTTTGCAGCACTGTTGGATGGGGTGAGCTGGAAGTTCCTATGCCGGCATGCTAAGGAGTGAAGCTTACCACAGGCTCTTTTCATGAGCACCTATGCTACAAGTGGCCCTCCAGGAGAGAAGAGCAGAGAATTCATTTCTGCTTCATATGGTATCAAAAATTTATAGCTGAAATGTGTGGGGGCTCAGAGGACAGCTCAGATTTGAAAGTAAGCACCTAAAATGGGCAAAAGGTAGGATTTACAAGGCCAAGATTTACTGTCGGGGCATGTGATCATTTAAACGTGCTTTTTGGAGGACATCTGTTCAGTACACCATCCCACTAGATGACAGGATGCACTGGGGTACATGATGGGATGGATGAACAGGCTATGGGTGAGGACTAGGGCGTCACTCTTACTACGCAGAGCGTTCTATCACTGGCATGCTAATTGCTTTATGTTGGAAACTGGAGCAACTCATTATTCAGGGCAGTGACAGGAATTCCACAATAATTGCATGGTAGACCACACAGGGCAACTCTCAGTAGGCCTCCTGCAAATGTGCTCACTGGGAAGAAATGGCACCTATGTCAAAGAAATTGGGTCTCTTGGGTACCAAGAACTGAATCTCCTGGCTGCTAATGCATTTGTGGAAAACTGCACAGCATATGAGGCAAGGTATGGCTAGGACACCCACGCTCTCATTCGGAGAGCCCATGCTAGGCAGAAGCAGCTATCTTCTTCACAGGGCCACACAGACCGTTTCCCATCCATCTCCTGCCCTTACTCTCAGTGTTTGGGGGAGGGGGGAAGTATCAGGAAGTCACTTAGCATCATCAAAATGGCTTAGTCATCAGGTACATTTAAAAAACTAATTCAGTTTTCTTGAGCTACTAGGACACTTCTCTGAATGCTAAAACCTGTTTTAGCAGAAGCTACAGGAGACTTACTTTGGAGCAGTAATGATAGGCAATTGGTACATTGACTACTCTCCATTTGTTAGCTCATGATCAGATTTATTTCATTCTTGGGTAATACTTAAAAATAGTTTTGTGAAATGAAAGGTCTCTATTACATACAATGAGGATTTTCATCATTATTTCTAAAGATATGAAGAGCCCTGTTGCAGGATCTACCGTCTCTGTTATAGCTGATGAAAGCTTAGTATTCAGATACCTGATGAGACCTGCCTTCTTACATGTGGACTGAGATGATCATCGGTTTAACCTTAGCAAGGATTAAGAAAGTTTCATTTAAGATATTAAGGGCTAGGTTGGATGTGGAGGGCAACGTCTGTCATTCCAACACTGGACAGGAAGAGGCAAGAAGGTTGTGAGTTCAAGTCTAGGGTAGCCTGGGCTACATAGCAACCCTTTCTAAGATAAAACAAAAACAACAGAAGAAAGTAAAACTGGGGCTTCAAGGGTTTTCAGGGTCCCCTGAAGTCAGTATAGTCTATAGAAATGAAAACGAAGTATGACCTCATGCACTTTCCACACCAGGTGTAGTATAGATCCTGGCAGTTCTGAAACTGGGCCAACAGGACTTCAGATTCAGACCACAGATGGCTACTTGTGAGCTGTGTATCTGTAAAAGTACCCAAGATCTGGCTTTCAGAACCACTGCCCAGAACCACTGAAAGGCTCTAATGAGATTCAGTCTATGACTCTCTCAGCCTGGTGCCTGGAATATCACAAATGCTTAATAAATGATAATGTCTGTTACTGTTGTTGGCACTGCAGAAGTCACTCTTCCCTTCTTACCTACCCATGTGCTATGAATAAGGAAAGTATCAAGCAATGGCAAAAGGGGCCAGCAGGAACTATGACGTTCCAGCGGCAGAGTCTGTGAACAGACTCGATGAGAAAACATATTCCTAGAAAAACTTAGTTTAATAAAAACTATATTTTCCTCTCATAAATAGGACACAATCTGTTATTCAGGTAAAAACATTTCTTATCTTTTCCTAGCTGAATATAACATAAAATTGTCAGCACAGTGAGGGAGCATGAGATGTACCTCTTCTCCACATCTCAGGACTGATGGAGGAGTATCTACAGCTGGCCCCACTTGTGCCCACACAATCACTGTGCAGGGAAATGGTCACCTGGTGCAGACCCTCAGTAGGCAGTGCCCATCACCCTAGGCTAAGAGGACACTGGGTGCTAAAGGAGGCAGTGGAAAAACACCCACCCTTTTCAAGGCCCAGAAATCACATCTCATGACTTAAGAGCTCTGTCAGAGTTAAGTGTGTCCCCCATGAGTGAGGTAAACACAGAACTTTACAACCTCCTTGTTGAGTAGCTTCTAGCCTTTAGTTGAAATGAGACTTTTAGTTTCATAGTCCTACTGGCCATGTTTCAAGAGTTCTATGGGCATCTGAGGCTAGTGAGTACCCCTGCCAATAAAAAGTGGCTCATTCCATCCACGCAGAATGTTCTTTTGGAAAAGATGCTGGTAGATAGTTTTTGATGTCCTGTGATACAAAAGTTCTGTAACCAGCTGCAGATGGCACTGAACACCTGGAATGCAAGTGGTATGTATGCCTGAGGGTGTGAATTCTCATGTTCAATAACTACCAGACACCCATGGTCAGTGATTACCAAACCTGACAGGTCATCATGGCTTTTACTGACAATCTCCACACATCAGAGAAGACATATATCTCCTCAAGACAGGTGGAGGTGAAAACAATAAAGCATTATTGGGATGAAGCAAAACAGGCATCAGGAATGAAGATGGTGCCCTACCTCTTTATTTGTGGAGGCTTCCGTGGGGTCACCGGGATGAAGGGCTATGCTTGATGACTCAGCACCCAGGGGTGAGGAACTGCCAGGAGAAGGAGACTGGAACACAGCAAGAGGGACAGACAGTAGTGAGACCCGAGGGATGTGATAACAAGTGACAAAAAAAACCAGAACTGCCCTGAGGGGACGCTGCAGTGGGAGAAGCATCCTTGGCAAGAACCACCAACTGCACTGAGCAGACCCAGCCATGCCAGCTCTCAACTCCATCTCTTCAAAGGAGTTCTACAACTCTGGGGCTTTTTCTCCCATTAGTCTAACTTGTTTGTTTGTTTTTCAAGACATGGTTTCTCTGTGACTTTGGAGGCTGTCCTGGAGCTAGCTCTTGTAGACCAGGCTGGTCTCAAACTCACAGAGATCCGCCTGCCTCTGCCTCCGAGTGCTGGGATTAAAGGCATGTGCTGCCACCGCCCAGTTAAGCTAACATTTTAAAGAAAACATGGACCTGTGGTATGTTATATAATATGTTAACTTTTTCCTAGTGAAAGTTACAAATACTTAGAATACAAATGTTTAGGTCACCTATTCAAGATGATCTGAATGGAAAACTGAAAACTAAAACTTTCCATTGCATTGTCCATGTCAGCTCAGATGTCTATATGTTGTCCCTCTTAATTCACAGGCCACTGAAAATTCAGACATTTCGACATTCAAACTATACTGTTTTGGACCATGTCAGCATACTTTAGAGATCCTTTGTCAAATGTCAGGCTTGAAAATAAGGCTTAGAGCACCTTTAATCCCAGCACTCAGGAGGCAGAGGCAGGCGAATCTCTGTGAGCTCGAGACCGGCCTGGTCTACAAGAGCTAGTTCTACGAAAGCTTCCAAAGCCACAGAGAAAACCTGTCTCGAAAAACCAAAAAAAAAAAAAAAAAAAGCAAGAAAGGAAAGAAAAACAGGTGTGACAGGTGTGGGGAGCATGATCCCTGTGTTAGTGTGGTGGTGCCTTGGTGGGTGGACATGGGCAGGCACTAGTGGTGGGCATGAAACCTTGGTTTGTGCACAGAACACAAGTATTGCTAAATGGATAACCAAAATAAGCAAGCCATGGAACAAATAAAGGCCTGGAAACACTCCCATATGACACCAGAAAGTTCTATGTGGTCCTGAAATCTTGGGAGATGAGGGGCACTTTCTGCTGGGCCTCACAGATGGTTACCAATTCTGTAGTGATGGCACTAGGGTGCAAGGGTGTGGTGCTTCCCAGCTGTGGGTGACAGATCTGAGATCCCACACGTAACATGAGAGTAATCATGCAGGACTTATTCTACCAGTGTGGGGGAGAAAGCCTGGGCGGCAAATGCTGACCAAAGGGAAGTAACACCCGTGTGCACACCTGACTTTCTGCACCTGGCCCTCTGGGGAAGTTAGGGTACAAGGCATCAGGAGAATATTTTTGCACAGGAAGGGACAATGTTTCACAGTGAAGTGATGCTGGGGGAATAGGGCATGTGAACAGACAAGAGAACCTCAAAGGGCATTATTGAAAACTGGGGAGAAAACTTTTCCAAAAAAAGCCTGAATAGCAAGAAATATAGGAAACACCAAAAGATGATACAGTGAAGAGCACTATTTAGCTAAGAACGTATGTGACCACAGTCACTGGGCATATTATTGCTTGATTCTAAGCAGGGAGGTGAGGGCCCAGAAACCCCGTACATGGTGATGTGGAAACATCTGTCACCACAGTCAAGGCAGGAGGACAAACATAAGGTGACAGCAGATATAAAGTATCCCAGGCCCCATGGCTCCTGGCCACAGTAAAGCCCCTTGCATGACTTTCAAAGGAAGCATGCAGCATTTTCCAGTCATTGCCCAAGAGAGCTGCTAGTTGCAGTACGATTCAGCAGTGATTCAAAATTAATGTGGGAAAGGCTGAGAATTTAATGCCTTGAATCTCCCCAATTTTCACATCAAAAGGACTTCTTTTGATATTTATGGCTTGATTTTTCCCCCAAAGTAATTTTCTGTGTTCCAAAGACTTTAAGGTTCCCTCTGAGCCTTAGGGAAGTCACTGTAGTTGAACTGATTGTTTTCAGGGTCATGACATCTTCATATGGAGCTACCTGACAGACAGCCCTATATTTCCCATTTATTTTCCACTCCAATATTCTACAAGTAGATTTCTTACCACCCTGTGGACCCTGGGACTGTCCATCAGTGATGTGGGAAGACAGGTTACCTGGACAGTGGGCAGGGATGTAGAAAATGGAACCCAGACCCATAGTAAGGCAGGTGTGGGTAGTGCTGGGTGCTCATCTAAGAATGCTGGGCATGAGGAGGACACAAGTCCGCTGGTCACTCCCTTGATCAAAGTGTGTATGGCTTCACACTGACCTTACTGGGGGCCCACCTCTCCCAGACACCTGGCGCTGTAGCCATCAGCCCATGCACAGTCTTGAGTGAGTTTCCTCCATCCACAGCATCCTGTCCTTTCCTCCACATTCAACGCTCAGTTCAGTAGCACACCCTCAATGGAATTTCTTAGATGCCAATCATAGCTCACATCTCCCCCTATGTGCTGTAGTTTGTATTAAAACTTGCTGATGTGTATGCCTAAGCTCCAAGAGCTCTTCAGCAGGAGGAATCTTGTCTCCAAAGCCTAGGCTTCAAATAGTTAGGAGCTTAGCAAAGGGAGGCATGGACAGATGATTTCAGTGTGGTAGGTACCCTGGTTGTACCACTTCCAACCTGCACTGAAGATATGGGTCAACACTGACCACTGTCTCCTTGGGATGATATCTTTTAGTGGTCAGTAGTGAGTCCTCCTATGATGTAGTTTCCCTCAGTTTCTCTGTGTAGAACACCTCTAGAAATATATTTTTCCTGTGAGGACTCTAACTTGGGCTCTATTGAAGTTCTTTTAATACACAGAGCTACAAATTGTCACTTGCTGACAAAGAAGCATGCACAAACACCTTCAAACAGACCTAACCCTTACAAGGGCGAAGCAAAGGTATTCAAATGCCTTATTCAAAATCTTGTTACCTTCAACCTCGCTGCTGGGGAATATTATTTTAACTGGACAAAGATGTGTTTCATTTGTTTATGCTGGGAATATTTTTTAACTATGTGAAGGTGTGTTACATTTGTTTCTGCTGCCTTTGTCAACATTGTAAACATATGCTGTATTTATTTCACCTTGCCTGCCTAAGGCATCTGATTGGTCTAATTAAAAAGTGGAACAGTCAATAGCTAGTCAGGAGAGGGATAGGCAGGTGGGGCAGAGAGGATAAGTAGGAGGAGAAATCTAGGCTTGAGAGGAATGAGAGGAAAAAGATGAGAGGAGAGAATGAGGGAGAAAGAGAGGGAGACGTCCAGGGCCAGCCTGATAGCTGCCAGCCAATGGACACAGAGTAGGGCACACAGAAAGAAAGGTAATCAGCCCCAAGGCAAAAGGTAGATAAAGATAAATAGCTTAGGTTAAGTTAAAAGAGCTAGCCAGAAAGTAGCTTAAGCTAGGTTGAGCATTCATAACTAATATTAAGTCTCTGTGTCATGATCTGGGAGCTGAATGCTGACCCAAATGAGAAAGCCTGGTACACCTCCCTCTGGGTAAAAGAAATTAGATAATAGCTTTCACTTTTATCATGGCATACCTGTGTTAGAATCTTATACCCCCCTAGTACTGCATGGATATTCAAAATTAGGGAAATGAGAACAAGGCTAGGAAGCAAATTTGGATTTGATAATTCACAAAATGGGTGCTAGAAAGTTGCTTGTATGTGTGCCATAGATGCTAGTACCCAAGTGCTCATCTTGTGGAGCCAAGGAAGGCCCTACCCTTCATCCTATAGCTCCACATCAGGTCTAGCATCTCCCACTCATATCCTGAGAATCCAGGCGGTCTCCTTCATGTGGGGTGGCTGAAGAAGGGGTGTTACTGATGCAATCCATCCTTTTTAAGACAGTCATTTCCTCCCCACATCCCACACTACCAAAGCTATGGAAGCTGCTACTTCAGCCTCTGTGTATTCAAGGCTCAACTCTGTAAAGTCCCAAGACACATACAGAAGCCTATGTCATGAACCCCTATAACACAGACATTGCTGACATTAAAATCAAAGAGAAATCACAGATATTGCTTTGGAACCCACTACAGCCAAACTCAAAAGTACCCACCCAACTGGTGCCCTATATATCACCAAAACAAAAATACCTTTCCCTACAAAAGTTACTTTATAAAATTTGAAGAATGTTACACCAGATGTGCAGACATCATCAAGATACAAGAAATATGAAAGGAAACATGATGCTTGTAAGGAAAAAAATAACTGTGTGAAAGAAACCTATGAAATGCCTGAAAAAGAAATTAACAATCCTAAGGAAACCCAGTGAGACAGGAAAGAGATAAGCAGTAGAAAGAAATGAGAACAAAAACTCAGGATAATACAGTTCACCAATGATAAATCACAAAAAAGAAACAATAAGAAAGCTTGGAAGTAAAACCTCCAATTGGTGACATAAAACAATACAAAGGAAGCTTCCATATCAGCCAGAAGAAGAAATTTCAGAATTTGAGGACAGATCTTCTTAAAAGTCACTTTAAAAAAGAATGGAAAAGAATGAAGAAGGCGGGCAGTGGTGGCACATGCTTTTAATCCCAGCACTCGGGAGGCAGAGGCAGTCGGATATCTGTGCGTTCGAGGCCGGGCTGGACCGACAGCCTCCAAAACAATACGGAGAAACCCTGTCTTATAAAACCAAAAAAAAAAAAAAAAAAAAAAAAAGAAAAGAAAAAAAGAAGAAACTCTAGGAATTGATGGGAAACCATAAAGCAAAAACACATTTGTAATGTGGAAAATGAAGATTGTTAATGGGAAAAACACTGAAAAATATTTTCCATAAGAAAATGCCCCCAATGCTCTCAGATCTTTAATGACATAGGGACAATAGGTTCATTCAAAACAGACCCTCACCCAAAGCATGTGAGAGTCGAATGACAAGAACACACAACAAGAAATCTTAGACTATCAAGAGAAGAGTCACAAGTATAAGGGAACATCCCTCAGACTCACAGGTTGCCTCACAGAAACCTCAC